CACTTAATTTCAACAGTCTCGCTATAACAAACGCTATAATTCTCAACGAACGTCTCACAAGCTCGACTTCAACAATACTCCGTTCAATTACACACTCTCTGACTGCAGTTCCATTACTCATTGCCCTGTCACGTTGTGACCGTCTTATATATACAAGACTAACACATATCTAGTAAATGCTAGGGCATTCATGAAGGAACAGGATATTTCTAGAAAGAGGTGGCGTGATACTATTCACATGACCTCCACTGACGAAACAATATATAAGACCCGCCAAGAAGCGACGGGAAGAATGTAATGTAATGTGTAATTGACCTGCGGACAGAGTATTGTTGAGTCGAGCACGTGAGACGTTCGTTGTGAATTATACGTTTGTTATAGCGCGACTGTTGAAATTATGTGTATCGCAAAGTTGTATTCAGAAAGAATAAACCAGTTTTATTTAAGAAAGGACTTGTATCAGTAAAGTTTCTTCGGAAATAATTTTTACGGAAAATTAATTGGCGACCGGAGGCGTAACAGTTGATTATTACCTCAGTGTCTTTTGACTTAAATTCCGGTTTTTAAAGCTATTATACACATTACGAAGGTCAAATGTTTTTCAATAAGAGTTGAACTATAGTCCTACCTATGATATTTACTTAATTTTTCATTGATGCCTTATTGTAAAATACTATATTTTAGTAATCGTTATTCTAAAAAAATTGGGTCATTGGCACGGCGAAAATTAGGCTTGGTAACTAGCAGCGTAAATAACTACTGATATGCAAAGAATATCTGTCCTACATATTTGACATCTTTACTTTCACAATTCTGTCCACAATATATTTTTTATCTCTTTAAGATGTATTACTTAATATAATGGAAAACTGGTACTATTTTTTGTTTGCTTTTAATAACATAGCGGCAAAATGGGTTATTTGAGCTGTGTCTATTGAAGGGATCGAGCCTCGAATTTTAGCGTTATAAGACCTTTTGGAATTTAAAAGAAGGACCTCAGGCAAAATAAAAAGTTTTCAGAAGAACTGGTATGTAATAAAATAAAATCACTGTAAAACACAACGTTTAAATACAAATGATATTTTTATTATTATTTACCAACTATTCTTCAACAGCCCAATTTCATTTTCATGCTATCCTGAGGAAGAGTAATTGTTAATACTGTAAAACGCTAGATGACTCTGGAGCTGTTCGCGCAATAATGTTGAAAATTATTTCTTGCGTTAGAACTTTGAAAGTTGAATGTGATTTATTTTTCATTTAAAATTTAATTGTAATCTTAAGTAAAGATATGGCACACGAAATAAAACGTTTAAAAAAGGATAAAGAGAAGGCAAGTGAACGTGGGGATTGGAAAGATTATGCCAATATTTGTAATTACCTAGGACTAGTGTTGTCACGACAAGGCCGTTACGAGGATGCCTTAGAAAATCATCGTGAAGAATTGCAAGCATGTTCAATACTGTCAGATGATCTGGGAATAGCTATCGCTCATCGAAGAATAGGTGAATGTTACAGTGAAATCGGTTATTACAGTGATGCATTGACACACCAGAAACGCTACTTAGAATTTGCAAAAATGTGTGAAAGCAAAATTGAAGAACAACGAGCCTGGGCAACTTTAGGAAGGACGTATTTTCTAATGCAAAATTCAGAAAACATAAACGAAAATGACTTGCCTTCACTTGAGAATGCTCAACAAGCATTTATGAAAGCCCTAGAACTGTGTGAGGAGTTGAAAAATGAACTAAAAGAAATTGACTATGCAGAAATGAGAGGCAGAGTTCTCTTAAATCTTGGGCTAGTGTATGATCAACAGAGTAATGTGACACGATGTGCAGAATGCCTGAGACAAGCTATATTTTTAATGCGAAAATATGACCTAAAAGAAGATTTACATAGATGTCAAATTAGCTTAGCATCATTATACTACAGGCATGATCAACCATCCCTAGCACTGAGGCTTATAGACCGAGCACTTGACTGTGCTAAATCTTTGCACGACTGTGCTACAACTGTTGACACATTACTGACAAAAGCACAGATTTTAGTAACTATAGATGATTTTGAAGGAGCTAAAACTTATCTTAAGAAGGCCTACAAAATGAATTCACCTGTTTCTGAAGATAATACTAAAGCAGAAAAAAATTTGAAGGTAGTTATAACAATATGTGAATGTGAAAAGAAACTACTGAAATTACCTCCACATGATAAAAATTTAAAAATACATTTATATGAAACGATTGCAGATGGTTGTTTTGTCTTAGGAGATTTCAAACAATCATTGAAATATTATCATAAAATGTTGGACTGTGCAATAGATGCAGGGAAACCTTCTAGTGAATTAGCACCTATTTATGTGTCTTTAGCTCAGACATATGCAGATGATAAAAAATACAATAAAGCTATTGAATTTTACTATAAAGAACTGGAATGTAGAAAAAACAATAAAGAAGAACAGTGTAAAACATTACTAAATATTGCTGAAATGATGGAACAAAATATAGATAAACAGAATGAGAGAGAACATAGTCTTCAAAAGGCTTTGCTCCTTGCTGAAGAGGTATGTAATTACAGACTTCAGGTTCAGTGTCTTCATTTATTAAAAGAGTTTTATGAATCAAAAGAAGATGATCTGAAATTGAAAGAAATAACTTATAAGTTGCAAAATGCTCGGAAGTCAAGTAACATTAATCTGGAGGAAATGTCAGAATCAGAAGAAAGTCAGAACCTTTTTGATGATGTTGATCTCAAAGATTTGTCAGATTACACAGACAGTGAAGAAGAAGATGTTGAGACAGATGCTCCTCGACGCTCTAGGAGAAGAAAAGTTGAATCAAAGGTGAATGAGGTAGGTGAAACACCATTACATAGAGCTTGTATTAGGGGAAATTTAAACACTGTCAGAAGTTTGATAGAAAAAGGACATCCTGTTAACCCACGAGATTATTGTGGTTGGCTTCCAATTCATGAAGCATCTAATCATAATCACTATGAGATAGTTGAATACCTTATTGAAAAAGGAGCTTTTGTTAATGATAAAGGTGGGGAAAAATGTGATGGAATAACACCACTTCATGATGCTGCTGCATGTGGAAACATTGAAATCATGAAGTTGCTAATATCAAAAGGAGCATCAGTGACAGTATTAACTGATAATCATGAAACTGTATTGGACTGCCTTATTAAATGGTATAAAAGAGTTGAGAAAGACTTAGATCAGGAAACTTTGCAGAAGTGTTTAGAAATGGAAGATTATCTGAAGACAATCATGAAACAGAGCAAAAAAGAATATAAGAGTGCAGAAAATCTGCAAAATCTTTCAGAAACTAAATCTTTGTGTGGAAGTGATTTTGATGATTGTAACAAAGATAATGGAGACTATCACCCCAAATCACATAGTAATTTTGTAGAACTTTCAAAAAATGTTCCTCATTCATCGTCTAGTACTCAGTCAAAAACACTAGGTAAAACTAAATATAAACAGACTTCAGCATTACTTGATGATGACAAAACAATGAAAGATTGGCTGATTGATGATGATCTTGTGAAAAAACAAACAAAAAGGAGACGGTCAGCTAGCAGCAATGATGATGGCATTTCTTTGGTGGCTACATTTGACCAAGATAAAAAAAGAAAAAGATGTACAAAAAGAAGATTAAAACAGCAAAAAATGTCAAAATATACTCATAACGATAATACAAAAGACAGACAGAGAGATGCTGCTGTATGTGGTTATGAAGACTCTGCTGATGAATACAGTAACACCTCTGATTATGGTGATCAGTCAGGGTATACTGATAATGAAATTCCTACTGGGAGAAGCCAAGATGTACACGAGGATAAGCATGTAATTTGTGTGAAAGTTCGAGTTGGTGATAAACTTTTATATGTTCCTATACCAGACCTCTCACAGACCATTGGTTCACTAGCTAATGATGTGGCAAATCGATATTTTAATCTTACAGGTGTAAAACCACAGCTGTCACTAGTAACAGCTGATGGAGCTACTTTGTGCGATCCTGATTGTGTAGGTAATGTTCTGAAAAACTGTATGGAACTTGTGGCCACTTTGAATTCTTGGGACCTTCCCCCTCTTCCAGAACGATATGAGCAATGTTGTAAAAACCATGGAATCTTATTGCATCCATCTGTTAGTGCTTTATTGAAGGACTGCAACTCTTCAGGTGTTTTAACAATGAACTATTTAGCAATTCCATCAGCTAACATGAAACCCATATTCTCTTCTTTAAACTGGCAAGCTTCTTTGAAAACACTTAACTTATGTGGATCTTACATTGGGGATGATAATGCAAAATTATTAAGTGCCTGTATCTGTTCATTACCCAATCTTGTGGTTTTAGTTTTAAGATGTTGTGGCTTGTCTTCTAGAGGACTTCTGGAACTATCAAATGGAATTAGCAGTCCATCACCATTAGGACAGGTCAGGCCTTTTCAGTACCTAAAAGAGTTGGATCTCAGCTACAATTGGTTTGGTCCTGAAAGTTTTGACTACTTAGCTGTGCTTCTGAACAGCCTTTCTTCTCTGTCATTACTGGATCTCTCAGGTGTTCATGCAACAAAATGGTTTAATAATTCTTCTCTCTGTATAGCTTTGAAACAATGTGTGAAGTTACAAGATCTTAGGCTTGCTGCTAATTTTTTAACATTAGATGATTTAAAATCATTATTTGATTGCTTTCAAGTGATTAAAATCCATAGTTTGGATTTGTCCAATTGTGTTAAGTCAAATCTAAAAGGATTTGGAAGCTTGTTAGCAGCTTTTTTATCTTATAGCAGTTGTGCTTTGGAAACTTTATGCTTGTGTGGGTGTTTTCTTCAGAATAAAGACATATTAGAAATATCACAATCTATTTCCTACTGCAAGAACCTACATGAGTTGAATCTTAGTGCAAATCCAAGTGTTACAATAGATTCAGTGGTCAATCTCTGCCAAATTAGTTTTAAAAATGCACTTCCGCTTTCAGTGTTAAGCCTATATGGAACAGTCAAAGTGGAAGAAAACACAATTTCTGAACTTTGTGTAATGCTGTCCCTTGGAACTCTCAAGAAAGTTACACTTACCTTATCAGACACTGATACTTATAAAACAAAAATGATACAAGATGCATGGTTATCTACTTGGGGTAAAGACTGTGTGTGTCACTTTGGACCAAATTGTTCTTTAGAACTGTTGGCTGCTGAATATGTGTGAAATAGAAATGTTACAAAAATAGCATGTAATGTTGGAAAAATATAACCTGCCATTTGTTGAATTTATTAGATTATGTATGTATAAACATTTCTTTTAAATTATATTGTGTATAATATTTACCTAAACAAAATTAATCCTTCCATAGAAATCTTGTTGGAAAATACCAATTGTCTGTCTTCATGGTGACTTTCAAACAAATACAGTTGTCTATGACTCTAAAATACATTCCATTTCTATATTAGATTTAAGTATTGTAATTTTTATAAAGATTCTTTGCACTCCATTACTTGGAATTGAATTGCAGTTGATTCTCCTATATGAAGTTTTATCCATATTTAATTATAAGTTTTATTAAGAAGTATAGGAAAGTAGGTATGTTAAAAAAATATAAGATTTTTTTATGAAAAACATTTCTAGGTTTATTTTGTAGTTGAAAATTGTACATTTATTGGAAAAGTTTTGTTTTTGCTGAGTTGAACAAATATTCTGTCACAATTGAATATTTTGACTGGGAAAACATCTGCATCTACATTATTCAGGACTTTACAGCTGACTTATAAGTTACAAAGTTTCTTCTTTTTGTCTGCCTCTGATATTTTTGAATGTTAGGAATTATAATTACCCAGTCCCGATGATGATGACTTTCAGAGAAAACGATACTCCCAAGTCTCATAACTGCAGCATTATAGGGCATGTAGCTTGCCTTAAGAGAATTATGCCAACTTAAAGGTGGCTTTATTTAGTACATTTGACATTTAATTCCATACAGCTTGAATTCTTAACTCCAACACTGTTGCTATCAATTTCTGAAGACAGTGTCTTTGAGACTTTGAACTGTGAATTTCATAACATGCAGAGTTTAATTATTGGCATAAAGAGGCTGTGGGGTTCTGCAAGAATAGCATACATGGAATGAATGAAGTCATGTTAACATCAGATAATAAAAGAGAAATATATCAGTTAAGTAACTTAGGTAATCCAAAGTAATATAGAGGAGAGTAACTGTGAAAAATAATCATCTATAACTTGAAGGATGATGTTTGGGATGTACTGTTCAAGTTAATCTGCTTTTCCAGTTTGATTCTTATGCAGTGTTTGTGCAATTTACAGAGCTGAAATGTAACTAAGACTTTTGCTTGGATATCATAATTTCAGAATATTACAAACTAGATTATTACAAAGCAAGGCTATATGTTTTGGAAAAATGTATAAAAATGACTGGAAAACAAAATATTGTAAATATAAAGGCAAAAACTGCATGCAATGTTTGATAATATATAATACAAAGGTGTATATGAAGTAGAATTAGTTGTAAATGTAATACTAATTAGTTGTATATATATATATATATATGTAGTGTTAGATATTCATTGATGCTGCAATGTATTGATAGTTGCTTTATGCTAAATTAGTTTTATATATAACAGTTCAATGACTTAATAAGTACATGTATGTTGTATACACTATACATGTGCAAGTTATGTGTAGACACAGTTTGAAACCAGCATGCATTTGTATGTAAATTCACATTTATTTTTGGACTTTTTTGGGGGTAGCTTTTGTGCCACTAATAAAATTTTATAGTTATTTTGTATGGCATAAAGTGAAATAACATAATACTATATCTTAAATAATTTTATAATTATAAACATCAACCCTCTGAACTGTTGTTTTCTGTAAAGTTGTTTTATAATTAAAGTTTCTGTGACTAATGAATATGTTGGGTGTATTATTCATGTTCAAGTTATGTATATACACACACATATATCTATATTACTATTGTAATTGTTCTAGGGGTTGTATATGTCCTTTTTTTTATAGTTAAATAATAAAATTAATAACATCTAGATTGAGGCTTAATATTATCTCTCAACATTCCCTTGTTAAGGTACCTTGCACATTATCTCATGAAAAGAGGAAATTTTTTTTTTTTAGTTTTCAGGAATTTATCAATCTCCCTTTTAACTCTTGTATGTATGTATGTATGTAGATAATTATGTATATTTATATAAAGTGTCAGCTACCACTACTGCCAGTAGTAACTCGTTCCATAAGCCAGTCACTCTGTTAGAAAAATAAAACTCAACTAGAGCCTAGTGTACCTTTTCCAAGACAAAAATTATTTGACTAAAAGTTCAAATTTCTAAATAAAATGAATAATTAATTTTTTAGCTATTATTGTTAGAACTAGAGATAAAAAGTAAAAATGTAACCAACATTAAAGTGCAATTTGTAAATAAAATAAATGCTGTGAACAATATAAATGACACCCTGCTGGTTGCAGTGACATAATCAGTGAGAAATATGACACTCAGACTTTGGTGCCATTTACGTTGAATATTAGACTGTTAGGCCTAGACTGAGTTGGCATGTTGTGATGCTTAACAGTGTTTTGACTTGACCACATGACATTTATGGTCACCTTGGTCTTCTTGTCCTATTGTCTTCATAATATAACAAAAAGAAATCAGAGGTCCTTGTCCTATTGAGCCTTCAGAAAATCATGTTGTCATTCTTCCTCAAGAGAAAAAATAGCAAACAACCCTGTCTTAGGTCAAGTTTGGAATAAGTTCAAAATAAGTTCCTAATTTTTACATTGTGAGCTTATAAACATTGAATTGATGAAAACCATTATGGAAAATTATGATGTTACACAAACGTACCTGTTAGAACCTATATATATATTGGATAAAGTCAAACACTATTAGTTACAATGGGAGAAGACAAAATATATAACTTGACTTTTGGTACTATCACAACAACAGGAGAGTCAGATTGCTTGATTTCTTTTGGTTCCTTTTTCATGAAACTTTGTAAACCCAGGAAATGGATAATTTTCTTACAATCTGGATAGTTTTATACTACATTGCATGATTGATACATTTTCATGTACAACAACTTAGGACTAGAAAAAACAACTTAATTCTAAATTATTTACCTGAAGAAAGAGTTTCATCTGGCTTTTCATATTTTTTCTAGAATCATTTTTGGCAGCTTAATATTTTCATATTATAAATATACAAGTCAATTATGTATGTTAATTCTAACCATTTCAACATAAAAGTTTAATATAAATTCCTAATATACACATTTTTTTTATAGTTAGCTTGTGTTTTAGCCAAGGATTTTTTTATTTAGTTACATTTTGGGCTAACTTTATGTAGATGTAACATAATTATCAACAATGAAGGTATGGTAGCAAGAGTTGAATTGGGAGAAGAGTGTTCTTAGGTTTGATGTTTGCTACTTGTTGAGAAAAAATAAATTTCAGTTTTTAATTTCAAACAGTCAATTTTGAGGCCATGAATAAGATTTATCACTAGTGAAGATGATGTGAAACAGAGTTGGAAAATTTTCAAAATTGCATTTAGATCGCGGTGGGCAGGTTCCTAAAAAAAAAAAAGGATAACAAGAAAGGTCAAACCTAATTAGCTTACTAAAGACAAATGTTAAGTACTGTTACGTCTCCGTTCGTTAACTAACTTTCCGTAACTTTGTTCCGATGAAACTTTAGCGACACGGGTCCTTACTTAATAAAACTGGTTTATTCTTCCCGAATACAACTTTACGATACACTTATTTTCAACAGTCGCTCTATAACAAACGCTATATCAAGGAACGTCAACAATACTTCTGAATGCAGTTCAATTACTCACTATCTACACACACATTATTCTG